CTTGGTCCAGTGATGTCCCGTCACATTAGGACAATATGTACAGTCCTGGTCCAGTGATGTCCCATCACATTAGTGCAATATGTACAGTCCTGGTCCAGTGATGTCCCGTCACATTAGGACAATATGGACAAGCCTTGGTCCAGTGATGTCCCGTCACATTAGGACAATATGTACAGTCTTGGTCCAGAGATGTCCCGTCACATTAGGACAATATGTACAGTCCTGGTCCAGTGATGTCCCGTCACATTATCACAATATGTACAGTCCTGGTCCAGTGATGTCCCGTCACATTAGGACAATATGGACAAACCTTGGTCCAGTGATGTCCCGTCACATTAGGACAATATGGACAAGCCTTGGTCCAGTGATGTTCCAACCAATATGTACAAGGAGGACATGTCATTGGTCAATGATGGTTACAAACTTGACACTGTGATGAAGTTGCCTTTCACCATTAGGCTGTGATTAACATCTAGTAAAACCAATCACTAGATTTTTGTGATGTTGTTAAATAAGCATGATTTGTTATCTATTTTTCCTGTATGTCTGTGACCTTGATTGACCTTGAGTAATGGTAATGTCATGTGAAATCTGTAAATGACTAGCTGATCACCTAGTATCAGATCAGACAGAATCATTGTGTTATTTATGTCTGTTTCCAGAATGTGGTGGGAATCTGGGGAGAGATCAGATTTGGTCTCTGGTATTTCATAGTTATAATGTCAAAACAGATAGTATATGGAAGGTTTTTGTAGAGGTCTCAAGCACAGGATAAGGTCGAATGAATTACCTTGGCTGTGTTCAATCAATCGGTTGTGATGGCGTACACCCCCACTTCCCCCGGGTCCAAGACACGAGATGCATTAACGGCTGCGGTACTGTTGTAGCTGCTACCAGCTTCCACGTATAATGGACTGAAGTAGTATTTATTGAATCACATCTCAATCGTAGCTTATTTTAAATAGTTGGTAGCAGTGATCAGGACTTAATAGGTGTTGATGCAGTGTGGGGAGTGGGACAATTTTCACATTTCAAATTGGGTTTAATGTCAGGATGTGTAACAGTGAGAGGTAAACTGGCCAAGCTCAATGGTTACACAGGAAAATGCATCCACATGATGTCGAGAGCTCAAACCCTGCTTAGCAGACAAGCAAGCTTGCTGCTAGCCTGCGGAATGCATGGTAGACAGCACAAGGTTCTAGCTGCATTGGAAGAGAAGGTAGTGGTTATTGACTGGGACTGTACAGTCGAACAGATACTTACTACACGACTGTATCCATGATTAAGAGATGTGAATATGCTATTAATAGAAAAACCGTATTGATTGGTCAGACCTATCACATAAAATGGTCAAAGTGGACAGAATCCTGGAATCTTTGTAAATTAACCTTGGTTTGTCTGATTTTCACTTCAGTATAATGTCAATAAAACACTGCTCCAGTTTGATATATAGAAAGTCAGTTTCTTCAGTTCTTTTTGGTACATTGGTGCATAAAGTCCTTTGTTTGATGTTTTGTAAGTAAACCGAGAATCTGTGTTTGTGTGACATCGACCAATACACTGCTGTTGATCAAGTGATGGTTGTAAGGAATTCATTTAGGACAGGATGTCAATAGTGGTTCGTTAGGGCCTCCCTAATGAAGCAGTGAATGCTGATCATGCAAACTTGAGGGTCGCGATTCATGTCAGGTTATTCATTGTACCAAGCTCAGTTTGGCCGTGCTGATTATGCCACGGCTAGAGAATGAATTTACATCAATGTGTACTTATAGCTAACATAGGAATACACAGGCAAAGTAAGGAATAAGCAGGTAAAGGCAGATAAATAAGGCAAAGGCAGATGAATAAGTTACAGGCAGATAAAATAAAGGAATAAGTAGATAAAGTAAGAATATGTAGAAAAGGAAGGAATAGGCAGATAAAGGAAGGAATAGACAGACAAAGTAAGGAATAGGCAGATAAAGGAAAGAATAGACAGACAAAGGAAGAAATAGGCAGACAAAGGAAGGAATAGACAGGCAAAGAAAGGAATAGACAGATAAAGAAAGTAATAGGCAGATAGAATAAGGAATAAGCAGACAGCAAATGAAAAAGAGAAAGATTAAGCAAATATAAGGCATAATAAGACTGCACAATGATTAAGGTTAAGTAAGGAATACTTAAACTACAGAATGATTAAAGTTCAGTAAGGAACAGTCCTGTAGATTCCTTGCTCCTGAGAAAAGTGTAGATACAGGACTTTTCTTACTCCTGAGCCATGTAATAGAAGATGATGATTGTTTTTCAAGAGTTTATACTAATTGGCCTTCATAGGTTTTAAATCCAATGTAGATTCTATAGTAAGGGAATTATTTTATGTGGTAATCTACTTCTGTGTTATAAAAGTTAATTACAAAACAAATTTGTTCTTACATTTTTTTCATCACAGCTGTTAAAAGCTCTTTTTCATTGCAATCAATTTTATTTTGTAATTTCTGAGATGAATGAAATTGAGAATTTTATTTGGTGAACCATTTTGACTTTTTTGTTACCAATCAATTATTTCTCCTTGGTCTATCCGTTTTATTGTTGGCCCGTACAGTTTTAACAAATCTTGTTCCATCTTCAGTACATTTATTCCAAAGGTTCGGCAAAATATAATTGAAATTTTTATGGCATAATATAATTGGTATTTTAGATTAGAAACAGATGATTAAGTTATGTTGTGATTAAGTATTTGGCTTGGAGGAAGAATCTTAGCACTGAGTATATAAAGATGAAACATCAAACAGACCTGATCCAGAACATGCCGCCGTTAGGGCCATGCATGTTAGGTTCTACAAATTAAAATAGATACTTGTTCTTCTGTGTTTGATTTAAAACATGCTGGGAAGATTTGTAGGAAAGCAAATTGAATTTAGAATTGGAAGAATGGTGAAGAGAATAAACCATAAAGGTTTTGTTAAGAGTATCAAAGAATGCAGTAAAATTTCTACTCTCCAGGAAGGAAGTTAATTGTGTCAAAGACGTTGCAAAAATAAATGAAAGGTTGTTCTTTTTTTTTTTTTGAGAAAAGAATTTTTCATGGTAAATACGGTGTGATTTAAATGGTGGGTTAAATGTAGAAGGTCACAATCACATTCAGAAATTGGTCTAGAAGTTTCCAAAGAATGATAATTTCTCTTAAATTAGAATTAGATACTAATTACTTGTCTTTGGATTGTTCAAATGTTATTGGAGGTGAAATCATTTTATCACATGTTTACAGCCTAATTACAGGTTTTCAGTTTTTGGACAAATTATATCAGCTGTCAGTATACTACTGTTGAGTACTCAAGGTTAAGAGCAATTTGGTCATGAAATGGTTTTGTATGTATAGCGACTGTAGTCCATGGTTCTTAACGGTCAAAGAGACTTGATTGGTATAGTGTACAGGTAAATGTCTTACCTGTATTTGACCTAGTTATTATATAACCTGGACATACCACCTGGTCAGTATTTAGATATCAAGTTTGACTTGTTTTTATAAGATGGATAATCACCTTGGGGGCATCTGTGTTAATAGGGACAGTCAAAAATACCAGTTATATGATAGGGAAGAGAGTTGTATGTGTGTTTAATGATTGGGAAGTGGAGATGGAAGGGGTGGACTAAAAAAAGTGAGACATGTATTAGGAGAAAACACATTGAAAATCCTGTGTTGTGGGATTGTGGTTTAGAAGACTGTAAAGGAGAGGGGTGTGTCATTGTGTTTAGATTTCTTTGTCAAAACAGGAAGTCATTTGGTTTTACATCAATCCCAGCAACATGAAAATTTGAAATTTTATTGAAGAAAATGTACATAGAGTTACCTGTTCGTGTGTAGTAGTAACAAACACAACTGATAGCACGGATTACATAAAAAAATAGACACTTGCTATCAATTAGCTAGTTTTAAAAGTACAGATAAATAACCATTCATAAATTTCCTTCAGCTGATGAATTTAAAACTCATCTATCTTCGGTTATGATTTATCTTGACAAACACAGATCTGTCATTCCGGGGTTGGTGGGTTTGTCTCCAGGCCTCTGTAGTACAGCTGTGTTCTTGGTCATTGTTCTTTATTTGGCAAGTAATAAGGCTAGTGGTTGATGATTCTGTAATAAAATTATAATGTCTTTTACTCAATATTTCAATGGAATGCCACTGATAAAAACAATTTCATTTCCTTCCTGCAATGTTGTATCAAGTTGACAAACTTTAAGAAATCCTTACATCACCTGAGCTTAACATCACTCTAGATTGCCTGTTGTAGGATAACAGGCTGATTAGTTATGGGGTACATTGATACCATGTTAATTGTAAGCTGTATGAAGAAGTAGAAGTTGGGCAATTTTTTGTTTGTACATGGTCAAGTTTCATCATTTGAATATCAGCTGTTTTCAGAATTTGACAAGATTTGGCTAATGATGTGACGTATGGTTTGAAGTTGAAGAGATATGTTGTTACTTGTTTTGTCATGTTTCAATATTCTTCAAAAAATATTCTAATAATATGTGTACTCGGCATGTTTTGATAAATCATTTTAGCTCATGCTGCAATGTAAATATGTATACACATCCTTAAAATGAGGTGAAATTTGCATATTTCAATAAGTTTTGACAGTCTGTGTATTTTTTGTATGGAACAAATGTCAGTATAATTTGCATATTTCAGTACATATTGACAGCTCTGTCAGTGTCTGCTACAGGGGGCTTGGTATATAGAGTGGTGCCTGTTCTTTAACTTGTATTGATTTGGCTCCGAAATGCCTCGCACGTAAATCCGAAGTACAAGATATGTCCCTGTAGACATCACTTCTGTTTATTACTTTTTTTTGTTTGTTTAAAAATTGAAAATGAGTGAAAATAAAAAAGAAGAGTGATGGAAAAAGACCACTTATGTATCTTATCATGTTTTGCCAACATAAAATGTTAGCTGTTGTCGTTGAAAATTTATTGACATCAGTGCTACATAATTTTTATACTTTCTGTATTTGTAGATTGAAGATGCCATGCTAATGTTTGACAAGACAACAAATCGTCACAGAGGTAAGACCGCGACACCGTGGCCGCATGTTGGACGTGTAGACGCCTTCCCCTGCAGATTCATTCCGCTATATACTGTCCTATCTGCTAGAGATGGGAAAATGTAAACCCAAGTCTGATGTAGACTTGTCATGGTAGAACATTGTTAGGTGTTACTAGAAAAGGTCTGCTGTCCTATTATGTATAGGTAAATCTTAAGTAGTGGTATATATTTATATCATAAATATAAATACATGCCAATTTTCTTATGGATTTTTTTTCAGTTTTATTTTTGTAGACAGGGGAGATAACCCTGGATTAACCTGTAATCTAAGTAGTAATGTTTAACCCAGTGTGTAAGGTAACAGACTTACCTTTTGGGTGTAACATTTTTATTTCAGCAAGTTTGTTGTAGCACAAATTTCTTAGGTATATGTATCATGTAATGTAGATATCTGTTTTCCAATCTTGCATGCACAATCTGCACACATTCAGTTACGTAAACAATTCACCAGTGTTTTGAAAGCACAGTTGATTCTTGTGAAAATTTGTGTTGGTCCTATATTCTTTCCACTTGTATCCTACTAATGAACATATAAAAGATACCAGTAATATATACTAGATAGAGCTGTTTGAATGTTTATCGTAATGTTCTGTGTCCATGTCCACTGTGATTAGGACTGTGTATTGTAGGTCGTGATTTATTATGATTTTGGGTACAGGAAATGTTGGGTGTTCTTGCCAGGATGAAACCTTGTTCCCTATTCTGTAGTCTGATTTGGGTACAGTAAATGTTGGGTGTTCCTGGCAGGGGTAAACAGAGTTCCCTAATTGCTACCGTACTCTGATTTGGGTACAGTAGATGTTGGGTGTTTCTGGGTTCCCTAATTGCTATCCGTAATGTGGGTGTTGCCTTTGCATTCCTGGTACAGTCATTTGTAGGTATGGACAGAACTACAATTAAATGTTAGAATGGCTAATTACTTTACACTAAAGGGAATTTGTGCTTTCTGCTCAATTGATGAAGTCTAGGGCTGTCTGCTGGGGAATCTTAAGGTCATGTTTATGTGTAGAATAGTAGAAAATTTCTCTCATTAGTCAGTCAGGCATGAGCTCAAAAAGCGTAAGTTGAACAAAACATAGACTTGTATAATCAATGAACTGTCCGTCTGTCTAATTACCCCTACCTATAACCAGAGATCAGCTTCTGAAGGCGGAATCGCTTCTTTATGTACCACACAAAACTCTGTGGAGGTAATTTATGATGTTGGAATAGTAAGGATCTCTTTAGTCATGCAGCAAAGAAAAACTTGCTGGCTTTTTTTTTCTTTCTTTCATGAAAGGTTAACAACAATAGCAGATGTGTAAAAAGTCAGTGTAGAAGGCAGGTCACACCAGAACCTCTGTATCATAGTGGGCTGCAGTGAGCAGCAGTCCCCAACAGACAGGGAAAAAAATTTGATTTTTGTCTGTTTTTAGAATGTCTTTTCCTTAGCATTTTTTGTCCCATAGCGATGTGGTTTTAACATCAACAGATTGCCTGGCTAGGCTCGGGTCTGATGTCAGGATGTTTACCATGCCAGATAGATTGGTTTCCTGCTAATATTTTGAGTTTGTTGTGAAAGTTTTTAATATCACAGAGTGTTGGTCCTAACATATTTTCTCCTGAAACTAAGTAGTATCTATCTGTTGTCTGGCATTAGTCTGAGCTTGGGTCTGGCTCTGCTGAATCTGCCATCAGCCTGAGCATGGGTCTGGTGGTGCTAAAGCTGCTGTCTGATCAAGCATGGTTCTGATGGTGCTGAAACTGCTGTCTGATCAAGCATGGGTCTGGTGGTGCTGAATCTGCTGTCTGATCAAGCATGGGTCTGACAGTGTTAAATTTGCTGCCAGTGTGACCTCTGGTCTTGCATAATGAAGATTTGATTAGTTTGAGCCTGGGCTTGATGATCTTGAGACTGCAAGGAATAAACTTCCTGTAGGTTCATATCCCCTGAATGCCTAAGAGCAGGTCCTTTACACACAACAGGTGCTATCAGGACTTTAGTAGTCTGCAGCAATAAACTACTAAGTAGTGGTGTGACATACACATCATTTTTTACAGTTTTGCCCTCTGTGTCTATAGTCCTTTTTGTTTTAAAGTGTTGAAAATCTGTCTTACTGTAGCTGTACAATGTTACAACTCCCACTATGTTGTATAATGTTTTAACACTTTGTACACTATACGATACTTTGTGAAATAGTGTGTATAGCTACATTGTACAAAGTAGCACTTTGTACTGCTGTGTGTATAACTATTTTGTACAAAGTAGTACTTTGTACTGCTATGTGTATAACTATTTTGTACAAAGTAGCACTTTGTACTGCTATATGTATAACTACATTGTACAAAGTAGTACTTTGTACTGTTGTGTGTATAACTACTTTGTACAAAGTAGTACTTTGTACTGCTATATGTATAACTACTTTGTACAAAGTAGTACTTTGTACTTTTATGTGTAACTTTTTTGTACAAAGTAGCACTTTGTTAGTGCGTGTAAAATATATGTAGTTCCATGTATAACAGTGTAATTGTATAGAGATTGTACTATAGTTAGTATGACTGTTTAGTAGTTGTGTAGAGGTACTGGTTTAGCAGTAGATGTCCTGGTGTTTTCTGTCTTTGATACTATAGCTAGATATATATGTATTGGTGTAATGTTTCCTGTCACTTTTTCTGTTTAAGTCCTCTCACCATTTCTAGTAGAGTGGTTCCCTTACACAACCATAGTTGCATTTTCTAATGGTACACATTAGTGTCTAGATGACAGTTATTTGTTGATTGTGAGGGTGATTCTGGGTATGGTAGATTTAATACTTTAGTGTTAACTGAGGGCTTTTCTGGGTAGTTTTAGTGTAGTGGTTGTAGTCTAGTGTTTGGTAGAATTTAGTCTTGGTTTCAGAAAGTGTGAAGATTCTACAAAATTATGGAATTCTTCTGAGTGAAAATTGGTGTTTTCATTGTGGTAGCTGCTGTGTGTTCTATCTTCTCAATGTTGGAAATTAAAAGTGTGAATATTGTGAGTTATAAAAATGTCAATGTTTCGAAGGATATAGTGCCATGTGAAGTTTGCTCTTTGATGGGGTGTGTCACAAACATGACCTAGGCAGTTGTGCATCGGAAATACTACAACCATCTTGTGACTGGTGATTTTGTGCTGTGACATTTTGTATCTTCTGGAGACTCGGTGAGGCTATAATGGCTGTCATCGTTGCCATCCCTGTTCTAATTGTTAGTGCCAGCACGGGATCGGGAAACCCCATCACAGTTGTTACTCAAAGGATGGAAAGTCAAAATACTACAGTAAGCAATGACACTACATTGCAAAGGCACGCAAAAGCTGACAGGGTTGGAGGGAACTTTACAACACTACCCAAAGCTCCAATCAACCTGCAGGAATTATATGGATTTCTTCTGAAAATAAATATTAAATCAATTAACAGCGTATCAGAGCAATGCATTTCGGATTGGTGGTTATAGAAGCTACCTTGTGATTAGTAGAAATTGAAAGAGCTACCTTGAGCATATGAAAATTCAATAATTGCTTATTATGGTTGAGAATTGGCAGAAAATTGATGACTTTTCCTCTTTTGAAATGTTATTAATATGAATGTAAAAAATCAACAATATATCAATTTGGACGCAGTAACCCGTAGTAAGAAGGTGATAAAATTGATATTGCCTTAAATGTGTTAATGGTTGCTCTGGTACCATTGTTAAGACCAAGGTTTGTATACCTGAGTAGCTTTAGATTTTAGTCACCTAGTCAACACTGGGATTGCCATGCTTTCTTATTTCAGAGTACTATACTTAATCATAATTCATTGTATGCACATAACAAGTATAAAAGACATGGCCACTGGTGTTTCACATGTTAATAGCCAACTTCTTAATTACCACATATCTTCACTATCAAATGACTGGTACTTTAAGGACTTCATATCTTGTCTTCACTACAGAGGTCAAATTTGGCCTTATCAACTCCTCACTACAAGCAGTAGAGCACCTAGCCCTGATCCAATCGGAGATGAGTCACTGTTAGAGTAGACTGTTTTAATGTCTGATCACTATCATATACTCTAAAAACATTTGAGGATCTCTATCAACTGCATATCTAAGGAAACGTCTTGATGATGAAATACATATGCCCATATATAAAATGCTTTTAAATTTGTTTTGACTTGAAATCTTGTGGTGCCAAGGCATATTTTGGGTTGGTATCTGAAGGCCTAAAACATAAAGATAATTGGAAGGAGAAGGGGTTGATATCTACTGTCAAAAGCTAAAATCTGTGGATAAAGTAGGATTAAATGTGAAGATAGTAAGTCAGGCCAAACTGTGGACTCCAAGCTGGAGAATCTCCATAGCAACTAGATGGATATCTACAACTGCTACAAAAGAGTCTGTCCCATTTATATCGCCATGGGAACATAATGAAGGTTCTGTGTTTTTGATTGGAATAAAAATGCTTATGTTTTCCTGTGCTGATAAGTATAAAAACAAATATCCTGCAGAAAGGTGTTAAAACATGTTACGATTCAGCTGGTTACCTTGGTAACTGGGCATGCATAACATGGTACCACCTGCCTTGTCAGTCACGTTCCTTAAGTAAGAAGGCCAAATATTCAGTGTAAATGAACAAAAAATAAAAATACAGACACTCCTTCGCTCTTGAGTTGCTACCCTATTAATGTGGGAGAGGAAAAAAAAGTGTCTGAAGAAATTTCGGAAATTGTCAATTACACTTCCAAAAATAGAGTATGAATGAATTACGGTTGTGTTGTTCACTTTCATTTTGTAAAAAAAGAAGAAGTACACCCAGTGAGATGTCGCTTTTGTTTTCTACATAATAGTTGAGAGGGAAACTCTGGAACAGCCATTCAAAAAATACACATAGATTTAGGTGTTAGTACAATACTGAGTGACAAAAAGTTGCAATGTTAGGGATGTTTCAAGTGCCTCCATACAGGAAATTTATAGAGGA